ACAGACAGACAGACAGACAGACAGACAGACAGACAGACAGACAGACAGACAGACAGACAGACAGACAGACAGACAGACGGACGAACCCATTTTAATAGTCCCCTGCTTTCTTCGAAAGGCGGGGGACAATAATGGTAGCATATTAGGATATATGAAATTGTGTGAAAAGGCAATCCTTAAAAAATATTTGTGTTTCCCCAACATAAATCTGACCTAGCTTTTGGTCTTGTTTTTTTTCTTTAATTTACATCAAGTTTTTAAAATTATATTTGAAGACTAGATTTGTGATTTTGGCATAGATACAGCCCTAAGGTTGATGGAATAGTCAAGTTCCAGGAAAAGAAAGGACTATTTTTTTTATTAATGGTCTATAATAGCCCTGGTGATGAACATATATGTAGAACAAACTACTCTAGACTTCACGAATTCATGTAAAAATGGAACTCTTTGTTTGCTCTGACATGGCTATAGATTTCTATAATTTCCATGGAGAGAAAAATAAATAATGGATATTACAATCAATATAGAAAATAGCTGTGGGGAGATCAATGTTACAAATATTGAAAACAAAACTTAAAATTCATAAACCAGACTATGACTTAAAGATACATTATGTAAGATTTAGATAAAAAGCTAGCCATTCTTACTATAACAGATAGTGTAAAATGAATAATTTGAAAATTTCATTCAAATTACTCTATTGCGATCCAAGATATTAGCCTTTGAAGGTTTGACAAGACGTGTGCAATAATTTCAACCACCGTACTGGTTGTTCGAAGCTAAGTCTCGCTCTTCCATTTTTAGCTTAAATCAAAATATGGCTGAACTGTTCTAATCTATTTAATATCAGAGAAATCTGATGCCATCAAGAGTTGATTATGGCCTGGATAAGTTAATTAATGTCTAATTAATAATTTAGAAAACATTTCAGGAATAAAAAAAAGACCTGCAATAGGCAGATTTAGCTCTTGCATAATGTATGTTTAAGCTACAATAGAGCACAGTACAAGATATTTCAGTCAAAGATGCCTCCCCACATACAAACTGTGACTTGACGATAGATTTGGACTAAAACCATATTCAAAACATTTTAATCACAAGGAAATACATGTACTCCCGTCAGTATCTATTTTAAACAGTCTTGTTTGTCAAAAATGCCTCGCCATGTGATTTGACGATAAATTTTGACTGAAAACATATTAAAAACAATTTAAGCACAAGGAAATACATGTACTTCCAAGGAGTAGGAATCTATTTTAAATAGTCTTGTTTGTCATAAGCGATAAACCTGTCAATCTGAGGGAGGTTCCATTTTTAGCTGATATTTGTCGTTAGTCACTGTCCATATACCATAAGTATTGATGTTTAAGTAAATTAACCTCTGCCAACTTCCTTTTCCGTGGTTTAATCACACCTTTAAATTAGTTAATCAAAATCTGGAGTCAAGAAGTCAGATTTTAGTGAGATTCTCTCGGTTTGTTAAATAATTAATGATAGAGGTTTATTACAAACTGATTATCGTCTCTCCATTCAGATACTGCACACAACCGGATCTCATTAAAAAACGTTAAATATCATTTTAAGACTAACATATTGTTGGGATTGGGGTTGGGGGTGGGGTGGGGCTATTGTTATCTGTTTAAAGGAGAGCAATAGCGCTGACTAGGTTAATGAAGGCTGGTTAAAAAAAAATAGTGGAGGGAATTTTAACTAGATTATGTTTTTGCTGCCAACTGTTCGTCAATATCCAACTGCCATGGGATCTTATACATGCATTACCAATTTGTTCAATACATCCCATAATAAAATCCCCTAGAAGCACACTTGACCAGACTGTTGTAGAATACTGAAAGTTTTTATTCCAGGGTGGGGTCACGGTGGCTAAGTAGGTACATGTAAGACGATGGCTCGCTAGCCTGGTGGTCGGGTGTTCGATCCCGGCATTGGCCGAGAAAGTTCATCCAGGTTTTCCGGTGTGGTTCCCCCTTGTCGGGGATGCAGGACGGAGGGCCTGACAAGGACAGCTGTCTAGTCATTCGGATGGGACGAAAAATCAAGGTCCCGTGTACACATTGGCGTGCACGTAAAAAAATCCCTTGACAGTTAAAATTCGATATAAGAGTAGGCCGTAGTGCCACTGTCCGGGCAAAATTTCCCTCATAGCACTCTATATGGTGTATGCTCGTCTTCATTATCCCAGTATAAGAGCAGAACAGTAGGACGTTAAACCCCATTTCGTTTCATTTCAATTTTTTATTCCAGGACATGTTTTTTATTTTGGGATTATTTTAGAAAGTTTGCTTCCTTTTCACCCTACTGTATTCACTGAGATCCATGCTGACCTGCACTGTTCCAGGGATTCTGCCACCCATTACTACTACCTTAGTAAGAAGTTTATTGGTCACAGTCTTGGAATTGTTTAATACATGTCAATTTTTATCTCATCCGAACAACTATACCCACTTTCATTGCCAGTGAGCATTGTCATGTTTTTATATACATTTTTATATAGATTTTCTGACATTGTCTATTAGTTCGCCTACACCATATGACATATAAACAGCATGTCAAAAGAAATGTATTGAATCAAAATGATTGAAGAACATCTTTATTAAGTCATAATAAGATCATGACTGAACAATAAAGTCTAATAAAAAAAAAAATTATATATCATGACAAAACAAGTATATTCTTATTAATTTATAATACAATTTATCCATACATGATTGTACAAAAGTCAATCCTTATTATAAATAAAAAAAGCCACTTCATCTCAAGAGGTATCACGCATTCTTCAGGAATTCTCCCACGCATGTTTCATATTTAGTACAATCAAATCTGAATATTAACTCTAGTGTAGATATATGACTTTTTCCTTCATTTATTTCTGGCTTCAAGGAAGTTATCGTTAGATTCTGCATTCATCAAAAAAAAGATCACTACTTTTTCTCAAAATAATTGATGTTGAACACAACCAGATTAAACCTGATAATAATAGCCCTATATTTCTGGCATAGAATAGTGGAATAGTGGACCTGATCCTAGGAATCTTACTTGAAATTTTTTTTGTAAAGAAAATAATTATTTTTTTTATCTCAGTCGATCAATCAATTTTTAAACCTAACCTGTGATTATTGAATTTTAAGATTATACTCTGTCAACAAGCTTGTCACAGAGAGAGAGAGAGAGAGAGAGAGAGAGAGAGGGGTTTAACATCCACTCAACACAAACTAGGTCATTTCGGGACTAACACATGGTTCAATTTTTATTTGAATAATTCACTTGCGCGTACGGGTCTTTAGTACTCTTTAGCAGTGAGGGAAAACTGGAGGACCTGGAGAAAACCCATGCGGTTGGATAGGCGACCCTACTCCTTGTCACATACAACCGGGGATTTGAAAACACGTCAGTTGACTCAATGACATACTTTATTTATAATACAGAGCACACATGCTCACCATTCGGCCATCCACCCCCCCCCCCACCTGTCAAAGACAAATTATCACACATGTATATATACAAGCCTGAACATAGGGCACCTGTCACAGACTTTATCCAGTACAATTTATCACACAGGTATAACAAGCCTGAACATAAGGAACCTGGCCCAGACGATGTCAGACAAAAATCATTACACAAAGTATATGAAGAGTCCAGGGGAAGAACAATCTAAGTCACTTTTTTCAACGAACCCCAGTTAATGGCGCCATCTGGTAGCAAATTGTATAAGCTTTTTGTGGAGCAATCAATTTCAAGTAAAGACGATCGGAGTCACATCGAACAAAGGCCCTTCTGAAATGGCCTTCCGGACAAATACGTCCATCGTACCCTTTATTTGACCTTAATTTAGCAGAAAAATGGAAGTCAGTTGTTGTACTGGTAATTATGATTTGTATTAACCATCATTTTGAAGTTGTAATTAAACCCGCTTGTTCTGTTTGCGTCAAGCATTCTCGTCCAAAAGTCTGTTTTGCCTTTTATGCGAAAAGACAATAATGTGACTTAGATCTTTCTTCCCCTGCACTCTTCATATGTTATAGTATGTATATTTGTGTCTGACAAAGTCTGTGGCAAGTGCCTTATGTCCAAGCTTGTCTGTCAATACCAGAACTTGGATAAAGACAGCCCTAAAACCTCTATAAAACCATAATGTTTCTTCAGTTATTGGATACCTCTATAAAACCACAATGTTCCTTGGGTTATCTGATACAGAAAACTAATAAAGTAATAAAACTTGATATGTACTTATCATCAAGCTGTAAAACAGTTTTAATGAACCGCAGATAGATTAGAAACTGATGGTAATATGTACTATAGTTTTATTGACTACAGATTGTTCCAACAGGAGATAAAGACAGGAATGGACATTTACATCTTGTAAACAAGTTAAGCTGATCACTTGAGAGAGAAATGGGGTTAAATGTCCACAGGACTAGCTCATTTTGGGACTAATATGGTTTGATTTTTTCTTTCAATAATTCACTTTCGAGTAGAGGAGGAAATTGGAGGACCCGGAGAAAACTGACGAGGTTGGACAGACGACGCTACTTCTTGTCAAGTCACTTGACTCAATGACAGATTTTATAATCCAACAAGCACATGTTAAACCAGATCATTTGGGACTAGAAAAAGTCATTTTAGTATCTATTATGGTTAATCGTGGAATAGTGTTTTCACCTATTCCTCATCAAATTCCAAACTTTAATGGTAAAACAGATGGAGGAATAAAACATAGAGGAGGAAAACAGTAAAACAGATGGAGGAATAAAATAGATGGAGAAATAAAACAGATGGAGGAATAAAACATAGAGGAGTAAAACAGTAAAACAGATGGAGGAATAAAATAGATGGAGAAATAAAACAGGAGGAATAAAACTGACATAGAAGAAAGGCAGATGGGGGAATAAAACAGACATAGAAGAAAGGCAGATGGAGGAGTAAAATAGATGGAGAAGTAAAACAGATGAAGAAGTAATGCAGAAGAGATGTGTTATACTAACCTCAGAGTTTCTGAGTGATTTAATCAGAACCTGCACTGTTTCTTCATAGGATCTCCCCACCATACGTCCCAATTTCTCATACATAGCACCAAGACAAGCAACAGCAGCACTGTGGAGAGAAAAAAAAAGATCATTTATTGTTCTGATTTTTCAGGGGTTGCATTAATCCTTTAGTACTTTTGACATGTAAATATTGAGTAACCCGATTCCTGAAAAAGGTTAGAGAAAAGCGACATTCAGCACCTTGCGCAGAAAATATAAACAAGCCAGTGCCACCTATAAGTGTTGGGTAAAATCTTTTGATGGACCTCTTTTTAACTCGACTGAAACCAAACTGGGAGATTATCTACTGTTGATATGTTGTCTTGGTTTTCTTAATTAAAATGATCAATTTGAGTACATTTTTGCACGGATTAAGCCACAAAAATTTAGATTTGTCCTAAAAATACTCTTCCATTAAACAACTGAGGGTATCACATTTAACAATATTTCACAGATCAATTTGAGTACATTTTTTCATCAATCTAATCAAAACACAGATCCAATTTCGTTTCGTTTTTTATAGTTCAAAATTTCGTTTTACTTGTCTTTACTACATTTGGATCTGGAAGATATGTTATTTAACTCGTGTTCTGCTTGAAATGAGGGGTCAGCCAATCAAATGGTCTGTCGAATCGAGTGTTTGACCTTTTTTGCGCGGAACTGTGGGTAGACATTACCAGCAATAGAAATCAAAACAAAGCAAAAGTAGATTTAAAAAAGCATGGCGATCGCTAATTGGTTAATCGAATGACTGACGTTAACAGGTCAAATGTCGCTTGCTTGGTACCTGACGTCATAGAACGTGAACTCCCACTAAAACTTGTTAGATCTACATGTAGTGTAGGCCATCGAAAGTATAAAAAACGAATTTAGCATGAATTAAGTCTTTAAAATTAGATATTGTCATAAAAATACACTTCCATTAAACAACGGAGGGTATCACATTTCACAGAACATGTGCTAAATTAAATATCATTTTACTACCAGTACATATAATTCTGTTACAATAATGGAATAACATGCAGAGTTATAATATGGTGATATGACTAATTCTATTATCATCACAAAGAGGATGGAAGCAATAAACCCTGTAGGATATTGCCAATTAATAATTTTTAAATAATATCCAGTGTTTAATGGTGTACAAATTATTACAACCGGAATGAGTCATCATCCATTTATAAATTAAATAACTGTACCACACAGTAGTCAGTAACATGTCAAATTAATTTAAACATAATTCTTTTATTATTTTTTGAAATTCATTCTTTGTGAAACAGCAATGTAAGACTTGTTATGTTGCCTTGTGTCAATATTATATTCAGTATACTATAACTCAGTAGCATGGAAAATAACAGAGAAAAAAATCAGGTATAACATCCATAACAAAAACTAGGTAGTTTCGGGACTAACATTTGGTATATTTTTATTTTAATAATTCATGTGTGTGCGCAATGGACCAGAACAGTGGGCATGGGTAGAAACAAGAGAAAACCCATCAGAGTTTAATTGTTAAATTAAACAATTAAACAGGTGTTGAATCGAGCTCTCAACACTTGTATCAACAATGGTACTCTTTTCGTAATAATGGCCAAATGGTTATCATAAGATCTGTCATTGGGTCAACTGCTGTGGTTTCTATTCCCTGGTATATGTGACAAGGAGTAGGGTCGTCTGTCCAACCTCATGGGTTTTCTCCGGGTCCTTCGGTTTCCATCGACTGCTAAAAACCCCATACACACAAGCGAATTATTAAAATAAAATTAAACTATGTGTTAGTCCCGAAATGACCTAGTTTGTGTCCAGTGGACGTTAAACCCCATTTCTCTCTCTCTCTTAATAATTTGCTTGATAAAGATGAGAGAACCACCATTAAATTGTTGCATGTTTATAAACCAGTAATTGTTATTCCATAGTTTTAGAGTGCATGAAAGAGCCATTCAAATATAATAAACAGATAAAATAAGCTCATTTTTATCACATCCCTAGGGTTCTTATCTATGTGAGAATATGTTTGTAGAAACCAATGTATGGAAATCAATTGGGTATGGTTCTGTCAGGTGACATTAATTAGTTAATGAGTGCCAAGCTGACATCTGTTGAGTATAAAACTCTAATACCCTGGAAGATTGTAGATTTAGTACGGACATTAACTAGCGATGAAATTAGGTTGATTATCATTATTGAGAGCTGATCTAGTTTTAATAATTAATTCATAGTATAACAAACCTTGTTGAACTAGTGGATATACCTTGCGGAACTAGTGGATACGGTACATACATGTGGTACTAGTGGATACGGTACATACATATTATACTAGTGGATACAGTATACATGTTGTACTAGTGGATACGGTACATGATGAATTAGTGGATACAGTATATTATATACATGTTGTACTAGTGGATACGGTACATGATGAATTAGTGGATACAGTATATACATGTTGTACTAGTGGATACGGTACATGATGAATTAGTGGATACAGTATATACATGTTGTACTAGTGGATACAGTACATGATGAATTAGTGGACACAGTACATACATGCTGTACTATTGGATACGGTACATATACATGTTGTGCTAGTGGATATGGTACATACATGTTGTACTAGTGTACAATGAACATGTTGTACTAGTGGATACGGTATGTACATGCTGTACTAGTGTACAATGTACATGTTGTACTAGTGGATGCAGTACATAGATGTTGTACTAGTGGATATGGTACATACAGCTTACACTAGTGGATGAATGAATGAAATGGGGTTAAATTTTCTACTTTTTTGCTCTAATCCGGTCTATGGGAGCTCGGTGAGTAAGATATTGGCTCGCTAACCTGGAGGTCCCGTGTTGGCTGAGAAGGTTCATCTGGATTTTCTGGCGTGGTTCACCCTAGTCAGTGGTGCATGATGGGGGGACTGGCAAGAGACAAGGTATAGTCGGAAAACTGAGGTCCTGTATACACATTAGCGTGCACGTAAAGATCCCTTGGCAGTTGGAATTTGATATAAGAGTAGGTTGTAGCACCTGTCTGTGAAAAATTCCCTCATAGCACACTGCATGGTATATGCCCATCTTCATTAGCCCGGTCGAGCAAAACTGTAGGACGTTAAACCCCCATTTCATTTCATTTTACTTAATACATTTAACGTATGGCCAGTACTTACAGTCTAGTTGGTAGGTAGCTTGGACTATCATCTTTATTCCGTATAATATCATTACATTTATTGATCGTCTCAAACAGATCAAACGTATCTCCGACACTGAACAACGTGGCCAAACATCGAGCTAATAGTTTCCGTGTTGGGGGACCGGGTGATTCACTTATCTGATTGGTTAACTGTTCAACTAATTTCTTCTGACCGGCCTTTATATCCGACTGAAAAATAAATACGATAAATTACTTTAAGTTAATGCATACAACGTTTATATCCGATTGGAAAATAAATCGAATCAATCCACTTAGGCCAGACCAATTCAATTCTTAGTTCTCCCTGGTCTTGACAGATTAACAGCCACTCGAGTGTGATCAATGTTTTGTTTCAAATGTCAAAACTTTAAATTCTGAACTAAAAGTTTTTCAAAAGAGCAACCAAGTTTTTTTGTTGTTAGATTAGGTTTTTTCCTAAAGAAATAACAGGTGCTTTTAACATGAAAAATAGCTTTTAAAAATAATATTAAGCTAAGGCTAAGTATTAGGCCTAACGTCAATTGTGTTCATATTCAAATAAGCAATATTATCAAATTCAAGGGCAAATATGGGGGGAGAGAGAAATGGGGTTTAAGGTTCATGACACAAACTGGGTCATTTCGGGACTAACATATGGTTCAATTTTATTTCAATAATTCAATTGTGCGCAAGGGTCTTCAGCAATGGGAAGAATTCAGAGGATCCGGAGAAAACCCACGAGGCCGGACTGGCAACCCTACTCCTTGTCATGTTCAAGCGCTTTCCCTACAGATATTACAGGTGCTTTTAACATGGAAAATCTCTTTGAAAAATAACATTAAGCTAAGGCTATAGTATTATTCTAAAGTCTATTGCGTTTATATTCAAATAAGTAATGGGAAAATATGAGATTTTCCATGTTAAAAATGCCTGTGAAAAAAACAGGAAGCAAATTTTTTGAATAAGTGATCCCAAATGACAGAAAATCCAATTGGTATGGCCTTAATTCATGCAACATCACAAACATGATATTTCTAATTGTTCATCATAAAGCTTTTCTTTCAAGCTTTTATCATATAAAGTTACAGGTCAAACCAATTGTCGATAACTAGCTTCGATTAGGTAAATAGAAGAATACAAACACGCTTTAATGTTGCAAAAAGTAATTTCTTGCATCCTAATATTAGGATTGATTATACAATATTACTGCTATATTATTACAAATGTTTTAATAATTTAGCACCATACTAATGAGCGGCGTTGGATGGCCGAATGGTTAGCATGTGCGCGCTGTATCATAAGGCCTGTCATTGAGTCAACTGGCGTGGTTTTGAATCCACGGTTGTACGTGACAAGGAGTAGGGTCGCCTGTCCAACCTGGTGGGTTTTCTCCGGGTCCTCCAGTTTCCTCCCATTGCTAAAGACCCCTACGCGCAAGCGAATTATTGAAATAAAATCAAACCATATGTTTGTCTCGAAATGACCTAGTTTGTGACGAGTGGACGTTAAACCCCATTTCTCTCTCTATTCACATATTTAAATCTTTACTGCCCATCTACTAGCCCATTTAGACGCTTAACTTGAACTGGTTTAAAAACCCTAGGGATCATTAAACCAGTTTAAATTTGTCGTCTGAACGTAAATGTGGAGCAAATAAATCAGTTTAAAGCTCCCCAGCTAGCAATTTGTTTTTGAGAAGGTTTTTCTTTTAAACTGGTTCATCTTGGTCGTCTGAACGGGTTGGCTTAAAAACCCTGGCTCCCGCTCACTTTGGACAGGTGCAGTACGTAGTAAGTTAGATTCCTGGGTAAAATGGCGGCGTCATGCAGTGCCAGTGTTATCGAATGCATGCAAGAACCGAGATAAGAATATGAAGCTCCTCATGTCTAGTTAACTCTAACCTCCGACCGAAGAGGTCACAATACATGTAGTTGAACTGGTTTGGCTTATAGTACGTGTGAACGCAACACGACCCTGTCTTAAAAGCCGTGGCGAATTTGAACTGGTTTAAAAATAAGCATCTGAACAGGGTATAAAGGTCTTTATCTGGGTTACTGCTTCATCAACCAAAAGTGTCACCGAGTCCATACTGTATGGTGAACACTCTATTTACGGAATAAGCTCCCACTTTTTCTTAGACAAAGTATATCTCTTTTAAAATCACACAATCTGTTTAAAACACAGATTCTATTTCGCTTTTTATAGTTCAAAATTTTGTTTTATTTGTCTGCACTACACTAGGATCTGGAAGAGTTGTTATATAACAAGCATTCTGGATTGCGTGAGGGATTATCCAATGAAACCATCTGTTACGGCGACTTCTTGGCGTCCTTTGCACAGAACTGTGGGTAAACCATTACAAACGTCAACGTTGATGTCATAGGGTCAAAAGCCACTCGTACGAGACCTGATGCGACCTTCCAGTACAACTGGTCAGATCTTCATGTAGTGTAGGCCATCAAAAGTATAAAAAACAAAACGAAATATAGATCTGTATTTTAATCCGATTGAAAATTACACTAAAAAAACACATTTAATTTTTTTAAAAGTTTTTACTTTTAACTCATCTTATAAATATGTGCACGTATGTTTTAATTCATTGTAAAAACAACATCTGAATACTTTGATGAATAATTTACTATATGAATGAATGAAATGGAGTTTTATGGCACGTCATATGAATATGAGCATTTAATTAAAAAATTTGAAAAATAACACTATTGTATTAACTGTTCAACCGTTCAATTGTATAATTGGCTACAATTTAGATGAATAACACACTACGGAAGTGTAAAAAAAAAAAAAATATTTCTCTTACATTAACCACACACTATCATAATTGGCTAGAATTTCGATTATCAGTGAGTAAATAGGAGGGAAGAAAGCCATTAATGTTGTGAAAAGTAATTTTTTGCATGCTATTGTATTAAATATTCAGCAACATATATAGAATGTTTATTTTCAGTCTCACTATTACAATTGGCTAGAAATTTCAATAAGGTAATATAAGAATAGAAAGGCATTAACAATGTGCAAAGTGATTGCTTGTGTGCTATTGTCCCAACTAATGTATTGAATACTATACAATCTACATGTAGCAGAACAGTAAGATAACTAGTGGCAATTAAAGGCTCAATACCACTCTTGTTGTAACTGAATAATATGTCCCAACCTTTATTCTGGTCAACAAATTGTACTATTTTACAATATTCCAATTAATTGATGATACAAATTTCATCTTAACACACCTAATTTAAAAAATTGGAAAAATTCAACTAAATGATTTGAAAAGCCTGACGTAAAGCTTTTCAAATGTGACTTGGATTTAAAAATATTTTTGAACCCTCTGGACAAGTAAAATAGGATTTAATGGATAATTTACACAACAGGTAAGACACTCACACATCTAGTACTAAAAATAAGGCTATTATTTATTTTCTGGAGCTGTCAAGCCAGCAAGAGTGTTATTGTCCCTTTAAGAGAGAGAGAGAAATGGGGTTTAACATCCACTAGACACAAACTAGGTCATTTCAGGACTAACACATGGTTCTATTTTATTTCAATAATTCGCTTGCGCGTAGGGGTCTTTAGCAGTGGGAGGAAACCAGAGAAAACCCATGAGGTTGGACAGGCGACCCTACTCCTTGTTATGTACAACCAGGGAATCGAAAGCCCGCCAGTTGACTCAATGACAGACCGTATGACCGTAGGAAATGGGTTAATTATAAGCTTCCATTCCCTTTAATATAACGAGACTTCCACAAAAATAATTCTTGGTAATTTGTTATGGAGAATGACATATCCTGATGTATGTGATTACCACAAAAATAACAACAATTAGGTACACCTTTTGAAAATTTTCCATATTTAATTCACGTACCATCTTTTAAGTTCACGTCAGTAATACTGAATAAATTACTATCTTCATTTATTCGGTGAAACGTTCGTGTTTTAAAAAATATTAGCATTTTTCTACTATTGCTAGTATCAGAAAATGCCAGTATCAAAATGTTTGACCCTTTAGCACAAAATATACATGAATTTATTGCTTCTTTTTATAGAAGTGTACTGTACTAAAAGGTTTGCCAAATTTCAGATACATGTAGACATTTAAAATTTCGATTTTAATCAACTAAAAGCCACCAACTAATGTAGCTAATGGCTATTTTAATAATCAAGATTGTGAAACATATTAAGTAAGATAAAGAGATATATATATTGTATTTTTTCTGGGCCATTATAAAGCTATTTGTTTTATAGATTATCTTCATTTTAAATACAGCCATTTTTTAAAAATCAATACTGTTGCTATCAGAAGATGGGATCATCACATTAAACATACATTATGCAAGAGCTACATGTAAATCTGTCTATTGCAGGTCTTTTTTTAGGCCTGAAATGTTATCTAAATTATTAATTAGACATTAATTAACTTATCCAGACCATAATCAACTCTAGATGGCATCGCTAGCCTGCAATCTTTAGTGGATTATGAGCCGATTTACTGCATAACTTTCCTTCACAATTTAACGATTCAATTGATAATTGAAACTACATGTATGCTGTTTATTGTACTGACTTTAGTAATGATGATCAAGGCTAGGCGGAACTTAAATCGCTTTGTTCTCGGTTCATAGTGGATCAATTTAATGAAATTTCCAGCAAATTGCCTTTACATTATCTTGTTTTTAACTATTATAGTGAGAACTGTCAACTCGTTATCGAATCTCCTATAATGTATCTTTAAGCCACTATGATATCAGTACATGATATCTACATGTATATTTTTACTACATGAATTACATAAGACAATATGGCTTGTGCTCTAATATGCTATTCAGATGGTTATAGAGGCATTATGTAAGAGTCAAATCTGCCTATTGCAGGTCTTTATTTTGGTTTCAAATGTTCCATAAACTATTATTTAAACATTTATTAACATGGTCATGACAAGCACATAATCAACTCTCTAGTCGATTAGAATGCTTTGGTTATGCAATGATTTAATTTAAAAATGGAGAAGTGAGGCTAAGTCTTGAATAACAAGTATCATTGTTACAATAATAAACTACCTATGCCATATTTTGTCAAAACTCCAAACAGTGATAACTTCGCTCAAAATAAAGTAATTTGAATGAAATTTTCAATATATTCATTTTGCATGATTTATTTTTAAACTATTATAAGAACGGCCAGCTCTGTATCTAATT